CCTCTGTGATTTCGGGTTGTCCACACCTACAAATGTACACCATCCTTTAAAAGTCCATCTGGTCGATTTATGAAAAAGAAGAATATCCACAATTTATGTAAAGTTTTAAGGAGAGGAAAAGTAGACGTTTGTGGTTCTATCAATATCTGCATCAGTTTAAATAATGAAGATAAGACCTGTCGTTGTAAATATATCACTCAAATGACACAAGATTAAATTCATCTCACCTACAACCAACACTCTACAATGTGACGTGCACGTGCCTGATGACATTCACCTCATCTACAACCAACACTCTACAATGTGACGTTCACGTGCCTGATGACATTCACCTCACCTACAACCAACACTCTACAATGTGACGTTCACGTGCCTGATGACATTCACCTTACCTACAACCAACACTCTACAATGTGACGTTCACGTGCCTGATGACATTCACCTTACCTACAACCAACACTCTACAATGTGACGTTCACGTGCCTGATGACATTCACCTTACCTACAACCAACACTCTACAATGTGACGTTCACGTGTCTGATGACATTCACCTCATCTACAACCAACACTCTACAATGTGACGTTCACGTGTCTGATGACATTCACCTCATCGTAAGTGTCAGCGACTTTTGTGAAGACATCAGCAACTTGGCCTGTAGTCATGCCATCTCTCTTGCCAAAGTCTTTAAATGCGATGTTTCTGGCGTTTTCCATTTTGAAACTAAAAGGTGTGGAAGGTAAAATAATATATTATAAAGGTGTTTGCATTTCATACATCCAACTACCCTCAGGTTATAAGCACCCCGGTTAATAGAAAACATGTGCAATCTGCAGTACAATCGTAAAAAAACAGAAAGCCCAACGCAACTGTGTACATTAATACCAACGTGATAAAGATTCATGCTTTAAAAATGTGGCTTCAAGTTTAGCTGGTTGGTTGGTTTGTTGTTTAACGCCGCACTCAGAAATATTTCAGCTATATGACGGTGGTCTGTAAATAATCGAGTCTGGACCAGACAATCCAGTGATTGATATCATGAGCATCGATCCAAGCAATTGGGATCGATGACATGCATCAACCAAGTCAGCGAGCCTGACCACCCGATTCCGTTAGTCGCCTTTTACGACAAGCATAGTCACCTTTTATTGCATGGGTTGCTGAAGACCTATTCTTTTCCCGTAATCTTCACGGGTCCTTCAAGTTTAGGGAAAACAAATGTCTGATAGAGTACACATTTAAAAGCGAGTATATTATGAATCTAGCTGATCATGACTTAAAAATATATTCTTTATAATAACTTAATAGCACACCCGGCTCAATGACATCACATCCGGATGGAAGAAAACACATACATTTCACAATATTACATTGTAGCGGAAAGTACTATGCCCTTGGTACCTTGATAAAGAATTTATAAGCACTTCAGTGTTGAAAACATTATTTCTAGTAAGGAAAAACACATGCCTTTGGTTTTAAATTTTGTCGTTTCATCTACGTAGATGATACTCTTTATTGTCTCTCTTGAGTCGGAATACACCTATCTGTACTCACACTCAAAATAAACGCAAGTGGTTTTAAGCAATTAGGTAACAAACACGGAACCATAAATTGATACGAGTTTTAGCATGTAGTGAAGCCTGATGGTGTTATCAATATTTTTGATTGCATTTTGGAAGCCCCGAGTAAAAAGGCAACATAAAAAACGAATCGCCAAAACGCACCATTTCATTGAATATGTGGGTATCATGCACCCATTTCTCGCGAAATCGAAAATGCACGAACTGTCACGAACTGTAGTGGGTATAAAACTGTGGCCGATTCTTGGACCTACCACTCCTTGGTCAACAATGCCACGCCTAACTCAAATTCAGAGAAACCAGGCTATTGGACGTTTAGAAGCTGGAGAGTCTGTCCAAGATGTCATTTCAACGTTAACATAACCACAATTTACCGTCTCCTGCATCGATACAATGCTACACAGACCACAGATGACCTTCCTCGGAGCGGTCGTCCTAGGGTCACCACACCTCAACAAGATCGGCAGATTACCAGCACGTCGTCCTGTTCTCAGTGGGCACAGGATCACGTCATCGTGAGTGGAGGCGTGTCATCTTCTCTGATGAAAGTCACTTTTGTGTCTCCCATGCAGACAGAAGAGTCAGAATTTGGCGGCGTCGAGGTGATCGTTTCGCTGACAGAAACGTTGTGGAAAGGGATCCATGGGGTGGACCTAGCGTCATGATATTGGCAGGGATTGGACTTAATGCGAGACTTGGACCCATGTGCTTTCTGAATGTTGGTCAAGGTCGGGGACACGGCGTCACTGCTCAGCGGTATATCGAGCAAGTGATCAGACCCCACATTGTTCCATTTTTTGCACAACATCAACAACACATTTTCCAGCAGGACAACGCTCGTCCCCATGTTACCAGAGCTACCATGGCCTTTCTGCAACAACACAACATCCGTGATCGACCGTGGCCAGCCCTCAGCCCTGATCTGAACCCCCATCGAACACTTGTGGGATGAGGTTCAAAGGCGTCTGCACAAAGTGCGCCCAGTCCCTACAACTGCTGATGAACTACGCGCAGCTGCTCTGGATGTGTGCAGGAGGATCCCTAGGGCCTTACAAATTGTCCGATCCACTCAATGTACAGGAGATGTGTGGAAGTGATCAATGCTAATGGTGGTCACACCAGGTATTGACTGACATTTTGGGTATTATCCCGAAACTCTGTAAGCCCTTAACATTTGAAAAAAACAATTATGTCATCTGCCTTTTAATCCATTAAACTATCTTCAGTCAAATTTATGTCAATATATATATATATATATATATATATATATATATGTATATATATATATATATATATTGTTTTCGTTGCGTGTATACATATATACACATCACAAACAATATGAACAAGTGATGAGACATGTCTCGTTTGAAATATTTGCATTTATTTTAATCCTTGCTAAACAATATAGTGAAAGAAAATATTCATTGAAATATATAAGCATGAAACTTCCCTGTGTACTACATGCACACCGACCGACCCTGATGGAATACTGTATCAGGTTACATAAAATAAGAATTACCACAAACAGAAAACACTTTTCCTGAGGAAATATTTGTATATGGCGAACAAGAGTACTATTTCCATATGTTCTTGATTTGAATAGGACGTCCATAGAAACAGTTAGTGATTAATTTCTTTCGTGTCAATCTATTCCATACTTATACATAATTAATTAATTCACTGGTAATCATCTATTCCCCATGTCAACATGACTTAGGCATTACAAGATTCGGTTTGCTTAGCGTTAGTCCTTTATATTTGACACAGAAGAATATGCCATTACTTCATATTTAAAATCGCATAGTGCTAGCGTTCTCTGTACTTACGTTCTTGTGTCTATCTGTTTAGTTTATTGCTGTGCTTGATCCCGTCGTGGTGATCCACATAGGCAGTCTGCGCCCACTGGTAGCTGACAGTGTTCTGAGGTGAAGATGATGTAAATGCTATAATAACCATCGAATATTCAACTGACTATGACTCAAGCCAATGGCAAAGAACCCACCTATCCCTTTGTTGTGCATATATATTTTTATATGTTTATACTGTGAATGAGTTAAAAGCAGTGGTGTGAAACTGCTTCACTCGTCATGATTCGGGTTCGATTGGGTTGTCAGGCTTGATGGTCCAGACTCGATTATTTACAGACCACCGTCATATAGCTGGAATATTGCTGAGTGCGGCGTTAAACAACAAACAGACAAACAAACATACACTGACAGAGGAAGCACGCTGCTAGAGGAAGTGCCCTGTGATAGGAAGCACGCTGGAGGAGGGAGTATGTATTCAGCCTGGGTCACTGGTGTCCGTCTTTTCAGTCATCAGAGCTAATGATGTTTGGCTTCATCCGACAGACATCTGTAACCCTCCATGTCAAGGACATAAATGTATCTCTTCTGGGTGAGGTGAGGTTAGGTGAAATTGGGTTTAACGTCGCGTCCAAGATTATTGCACTTATATAGCGACGTGCATGCACGTGTGTGTGTGTGACTGCTTGTACTAGTCCGGACTGATGCCAATTTATAGTGCTAGCTCACTGAGATACCATGCCGCAGTTTAACATGAATACCCCACTCAGACACAGTATACTGACTCCGAGCCGACCAGTCCTTGTTTTAGCCCCTTAATGTCGAGCGCCAGACAGGGTAACACCAAGTACCATCTTTTAACGTCTTTTGGTATGACGCGGCCGGGGATCGAACCCCAGACCTTCCGCTCTCCGGGCGGACGCTCTAGTATCTCTTCTGGAGCTGTGAGGTAGTTTGATTAAAGCTCGTAACGCCGGAGGCCCAAGTTCAATGTGTGTAGAATGTGCAAACCCCATCACCACTGTTCCCATCGGGGGCACGGAGGACCGAGTCATCTAAGGCGCTGTGCATAGTTGTCTCCCTTGCTAGCAACCCAGGATTGTAGGTTCGAATCCCGGTTCGCCCCGATTATGTTTCTAGGTTTGTAAGCACCATACCCGTTCGCGTGGGTTTCACCGAAGTGGTAAACCTCTAAAATCTGCATCACAAGTCTCTGAAAATGTATAAATGTGATAGAATAAGTAATTATATCTAAATTGAAAAGAAGCCCCAATGAGATGGGGGATTCAGATTAGAGCGTGCTCGCATGGCGTGGAGCTACATCACGTAAAGGTCTGAGACCTGCATCACTTGGTGCTTTCCTCCCACATTAAGCTGACACCCCATGTTATAACTGAAACACTGAAAGGTGGCATTAAAGCCAACTCACTCACTGTGTCATTGACCTAACATAGTTCCGAGGTAACAGATGTGAAACCGACCTTGACACAATATTTGTATGGCGTCGATTTGGTCTGGAAGTTTCATTCAGACCGCCACATAGTTAGACGAACCTGTAGCCTACCACAGTAATGACGATCATAGCTGTCATTTAGTATAATAACATGTATGACAATCTGCACTGTCGTTCCGTCTCTAGATACTGCCCTGCTAAATCCCCATGTCTCGATATAAAGCTGCGGTTGTAGCAAACAAAAACAACTTTCGATGCAGACAAAACATCACTAGTCGTTTCAAAAGCTTTTAGTGAGGCCTGGAATGTTATCACCTTGATCACACAACTTTTACGTTCAGCAACAAGGGTCCAGCGTTTGTTGTCCAAGTTTTATCCTAATCACTGATGTTTACTGTAAGTGAATGCACATGGTATAAACTCCACTTGTCTTTCTGTGAATACACAGAAAGTCCTTGATTGTATTAAGGGTAATGCTTAAACTTTTAGACAGGGATTTGGTGGTACATTTTCTGGACCCAGCAATATATGTCTCTTTGTCAGAACTGTTATGGAGCTTTGGTATGTGAATAATTGACGACGGCTGTTATTGTCAACAATAGAGAAGTCACCTGTGAGTATTTGCCAGACAGATGGGTGGCAGAATGATGCGTATTAGCAGCCACAAATAGTGGGATTAACATCAGTAGCTGCCAATTCCTCGTTGTGCAACATGCTCCTATTATTGAACAACATGGATGAAATGGTTTAATTTAGGAAAATGAAACTATTGTTTTTTTCCGAAAATTCGAAATACATTGGGGGAAATTCATTTGTGTCTGAGCAGTATATACAAGAACAGAAGAACGGCCTCACCACCATTTCCAGAAAGGACCAACGTAATAATTAAATCCCATCCTTTATTTCCAGACTGATACCATTACGTTTGATTTTTAGGAAGTACATGTATACAACGATGAGCCGCACGAAGCACATTGCATCCCGCTAACCGAAGTCTGCTCACGTCACCTGCAAATTCCATTTGGTTCCTGCATACTTCAATCTGAAGTCAGAACTGCAAACAGGAGAACTTGAGAGCAACGACCCCTTAGGATCCATCTTCAGCATGACCTTGATACTCAGCATTGATTCTTTTACATCAACATCAGAAGCACGAACAATATATCTGCATACATTTACAGGATATGCATCGCCAAAAAAGTCATCATAGTGTTTCTTGTCCAACAGTTGCCACAGCCCATCCTGCTCCATCCACTGTATCAGAGGTTCCAGTCTCTTGATGCATTCCTTTACCTCTGTGAAGCAAGCATCATGGGGCCCCGAAATATATCTGACCTCCTGTGATAGACAACACTGAACATCAGATACGTTCAATCGTCAGCAAGTAAGTACTGTGCGATTAACTCCATAGCTGAGACTTTTCAAAGTAGATTTTTTGAAATGGTCATATCTTGACACGAAGACCCAAATATTACTTACTTTCTTCAAGAAAGTAGAAAAACATATTGGTTACTGATTTCATAAAAATATATAGGCAAGAAAGCCCTTTCCATAATCATAAGACATTCATCGGTTTACTTAATCTGGTATAGTTCTCATGGCGTCACATAAAATTGTGACGTCGGTGACGTCAACAACAATGAATGACACCATCTTCAGTAAAGAGCAACAATACACTGCTCTGTCCTTACGGTGCTTGTTCACTCATGAGTCCTGGCCACTGTAAACAAATCCTCCTTATTATTACCATTTGAACTAACATAACTGACATAAGTCTATCCTAATGAGGTCCACTGTCTGCACATTAAGAAGATGTTTAATATACAATACAGGACCTGGTGGTTTATTAGGTACAGTCTCAAAGGTGACTCAAACCCGGAGAAGTAACATGTAATATACCCAAGCATTAAAATACAAGGGAACAGTCTCTCCGTCTGAAATCTCGTCACAGTCGTCATACATTGATATGTCACAGCAGGGTAACTTCGAACAATGGACAAAAAAGCTACGATGTGCCGGTTAGTGTGGATATACATCCGGAATACAGATCTGCTATGCAACTTTCTATTCGTGTTTCCTTGTCAATTTCACTTCCAGTGACCGTTGCCACCTGTGAATCTCTGTTTCTAGAATAAACCACGAAATTTTACAATTTTCAACTCTGTTATATTTTTCTCGCCAAAATTATATTCTAATAGGAGCCCCCTATTTCTAATTTTGAGAGCCCCCTGGGCGCTTATCACGTCGAATACGGTAATCAAATATGACCCGAAATGTTTTGATGCATATTAAGTACGAATATAAACGTTGATTTTTATAAGTTGTAGATCGTGTCTAACTTTGTTAAGTTTTGTCTAGACCTTTCTAGGTCTGCATTGGATCCAAATATAAACGAGAACATGACACAACATGTCAACATTTAACAAAGCAATGAGAAAAGCATCATGCATCATAACTCGTTTATCATGACATGCTCGCTCCTTTTGACAGATTACTTTTGCTTTTTTAAATTGACTAAGAGTTACCTGTCATTGATTAAACTATGCGACCATCTGAATGAATCGCCCTAACCGTTTAACACTTAATCGCAAAACAACACCCAGCATAAGTCAACGCCATACTGTACACAAATAGTGTGTCAAGAATTGTTTTACATGTGCTACCTCACACCCAGACTATTTCCATGTTACAAGGAGTGAGTTGGGTTTCATGCCACCTTGAACAGTATTTCAGTGATTTCACGACATGTCAGCTTAATGACGGAAGAAAGCCCCAAGAGGGAGGCAGGTCTCAGACCTTTACTACTTTGGAGAACCTCACAAGCAGGATATGAAGCTGACACACCTAGAAACATAATCAGGGTTAACCGGGAATCGAACCCAGAATCATACGGCGGGACGTCTCATGCCTCCTGTTCATGATACAAATGCATAAAAATAATACAATTTCTGATAACATCTTCACTTATAAAACTAGAATGTGCGTGTGTGTGTGTGTGCGCGCGCGCGTGTGGTGTGTGTGTGTGTGTGTGTGTGTGTGTGTGTGTGTGTGTGTGTGTGTGTGTGTGTGTGTGTGTGTGTGTGTGTGTGTGAAATCAATATAAATATTGTCTATGACCAAATTAAAACGTGGTGCATCACAATTGCGAAGACTTCCATGTTAAGGAGAAGTGAACAAAACCGTCTATCACTTGACCAACGGTGAAACAATTTGGTGTAGTTTACTGATGTGATTCAAATGATATTCTGTGATGATGTGCATTATAGTTGTGTAAAGAAATGGAATGTTTTGCAACGAGAAACCTGTCAGAACACATTAAATATTGAAGAGCCTTTTAATCACTCAAGCCCGATAAATTACTTTCGAATAGTTCCGAACCATTAAATGCGTCCGTGGTGACATCTGTTTAGTAATATTCAAATCAATTTCGCCCATAAAATAAAATATAACAATTTGTAAAAAATAAATCTTGTCTTAGAGCATGATGAATCGTGCATTCAAATTAGATGTTAATTTTGTAAAGTCTATCATGTTTACCTCCATGCTCAAGAAACCAGGTCGAGCCCAAACTTGCTAACAAATCGACGCATTCAAGTGTGACGTCAATGGTATTTAGAGCGTAGAAACTGGGGGGTTCGCCAATTATCAAATAAGATGTTAATTTTGTAAAGTCTATCATGTTTACCTCCATG